ACGTGTTTTTAAAAGGATTGGTGTAACAGTTACTTGTGTGAACACATTGATGTGGTCTGGGCCCTTCCCTGCACGAGAGGACTGGTGGAATCCTCAGAACTGCAGGCATGTGGAGCGCCGGAAGCAGGGTCCTTGGGTCACCGACAGGCCAGCCTTCCAGGTCCTCTCGCACGTGGGACGCAGCGATGGTAGAGATAAGAGGGTGGTGTGGCGGGGAACTCCTGAATCACACAAGGACGTGTTGTGCGATAGCTGCGTGAGCTCTAGCAGGACGTTCGAGAGCATGTCCTGGGGGCGCTTTGCCATGGGAGAGGGTGTTGCTGTGGGAAGTGTGCTGAGTTGTGTGTTCCTCGGCCCTCCGCGTGGCGCCTGCTTCCAGGCTGTGCATGAGGCTGGCTTGTCCCGTCCTGGGATGCTGGCAGGAGTGCGGGTCTGTGCATTCCCACATCTTGTGAGGCACGTTTCTCAGCATCAGTAGCCCCAGCTCCTTCCTCCTCGTGGTCCTTCCTCGTTGTGAGTGGGAGGCGGATGGGCCGGGGGGCAGGGTTGCTAAGAACACCTGCCTTACTGTCTGGGGGGTTCCCAGGGTTCACGCGGTGGCCCTGTCAGCCCTGAACACGGAGAGCCACTGCCTGTGAGGCCCTGGGGCATCTCTGGAGAGCCTGTCATGGCCTGGAGCTCACCATGCAGTCTCCTGGGACCTTGACAGACTGCACCAGGCTGCATCCTGCGCCAATGAAACCCGAACCTCGGGGCTGATCCCATTGTGGCCAGGAGGGAGATGGGATAATGCTGGGCCTGGGAGGGACTGGGAGGCCGAGTCCAAGGCAAGGGCCGTGGGGCGGTGCCTGTTCCGGTTCTCCCGCAGCCGGTCTGTCCGTCCTGCCTGCCGCGACTGCTCTCCAGCCACTTTCTCTTTTTTATTTTTCCTTGCTGGAAAGCTGTAGGAGGCAGTGGGGTGGGAAAGCTCCATGCACAGTGTAGGTTAGAACCTTGGAGGCAATGGCTTCACCTGCCAGTGAGGTGGGGAACAGAGCCTCCAGCAGTGCCGGCGTGTAGCTGGGGCGGCTGCAGCAGGAAGACGCCCAGAGCCTTGGCCCTGAACAGATAGAACCATCGAGGCCGAGTCGGGTAGTCCTCCTGTTCAGACCAACTGTGTGTCCCTTTTGTCAGACAGCTGATGACCCCTGCTGGCACATCTGCGTCCCAGCCGGGAGGCGGCCGTTCCCTGTCCATGCCAGCCGTGCACCGTGTCCACGGGAGGCTCAGTGTGGGGGTTTGGAGCAGCGGCGTGCTGTGTGACTCCCCAGGTGATAAGGCGGTCCTCATCTCCACCTTCATCTTCTTTCCTCAAGTCACTTTTCCTGGCACCTCACTAACCATGAGGTTTCATGGGAACCTTGGGGAGTCCCTTGTGTGCTTGGCCTGGGGACACAAAACTATGTCTGACCGCTGGGGCCAGAAGGGTTTGCCGAGAGACCAGACCTGAGCAGCTGCTGTCTACCTGCCACGTGTGCCAGCCCCAGCCCTCCTCCAAAGTGAGTGGGGGGAGGGAGGCTTCTGGGTGTTGCCGGGACCTGGCCGGGGGCGGAGCGGCTGAGCCGTGCAGGAGAGGATAGGGATGCAGGCGGATCCGCAGGAGCCAGGCTGCCCTGTGGATGTGGCTGTGGAGCCTGCACCTTTCTCCCCCAGTCACTCCAGGGCTGCTCTGAGCCCGCAGCTGGCCAGCTCAGCGGCCCGGGGTTAGAAGGAGTGCACCGTCCGTGCCTGCCCAGTGGCCTCAGCCTCTGAGGAGATGATGCAGGGAGCTTTGGATGCTGCAGGTGTCTTCAATATTCATTTTCAAAGTATCAGTTTTCAGTCTCAGTGGGGCCTTTTTCTAAACAAACGGTAGAAGCAGAACCTCTCCCAGAGCAGCTCCGAAGGAGGCCGGACCTTGAGGGCGGGAAGCCCTGGTTGAGGCGGGACCAGAAGCCTGGCCCCCAGGCGATGCGATGGCAGCCCCGGCTGACCCACAGCGCTCTGAAAACGGGTCCTTGGACGCCCGCCCAGGGGCGTGTTTTCACCTGCGGACCAGGGGTGCGGGGGACAGTGGGAGGCGGGGGTTCCCAACTGCAGCTGAGCTGGAAGTGCGTAATTTCAAGTGGCAGCGAGACTGGGCGTCCCAGAGCCAGGATGAGCCAGGATGTGTGGGGTTACCCTGCCCCCCTTTTCCCTCCCCACGGAGTGGGGCGGGTGAGCGGCTCCCACTTGGCTCTGAAGCTCCCGGGCACTGGGGTGTGTGGCTGGGCCAGGCAGTGGGTGGTTCTTCTGGTGGCAGTCACAGAGCTCTTGCTGCATCACTGTGCCGGGGAAGACTTCACAGCTATGGATATTTAGGGTCCAGTTGAGTGTGTCACACACCAGAAACTTTAAATTTTTTTCTCAAACGTTCTACATTAGTTGGCAAAGTATAATCTTCAAAGTCATGGCGGAGTATTGGGTGTAATCCTCCTGGAGGCGGGAACGGGCTTGGCACCGGCAGGTTCCGGTTGGCCCTTTGCTGCTGTGTGTGTGGGTCCCCTCATCTCTCCTCTCTCCCTCCAAGGTGGGACGTGGTGCCCTGGGAGCAGCTGTGCTGAGTCTCTCCTTGGTGTCCAAGGGGCTGGGACGGTCCAGGGTCCACAGGTGTCACCGGGGCAGCCTGCCCCTTTGAGTTTCCGTGTCAGATCTGGAAGCCATGTTGCCACACAACAGCAAGTTCGCAGCACTGTCTCCATGTGTCCTGCTCTCCTGCCAGGGTCCAGGCAGCTGGGAAACAGCTTGGTTTGCTGAGAAGCTGCATCCTGGGTGTCCTTGTCCCAGAGCCCTCCTCGCTCCCAGCCTGCAACTGGGGCCTGGTCAGGGGACCCTGGCATGTTTCCTCCTGCCGCGGGCACGCTCAGGAAGTGCTGTGTGTGCATGACACCCGCACGCATGGCCTGTGTGCTGGGGGCTGTTTTCCTTCACTCACATCATAGAATCGCAGACAGCAGCCCTGCCACCTGTTCATTCTGCCCGTGAGCTCAACAGTTCTGCGTGATGCCGAGACATGCGTGTGTTCTCCTGGTGTAGCCATCTCAGCAGGGGCCCTGGGGTCCCCTGGCAGGACGTGCGGGCCGGTGTTGACAATGGGTGTCATAGGTGAAGGACGTGCAGGCCGGTGTTGACAATGGGTGCCATAGGTGAAGCCTCACAGCCTGCATTTACGGTGCATGGTTAAATGGTCCCCAAAATTACATTCTGTGTTCACAGTGTGGGGAAATAGGATGGGGGTAGAAGGTGACATCTGAGGCCTGCGCCTCCTCTTGGGTTTGCTGAGTTCCAGAAACGACCGAGCCCTGTGGGCGCCGTGCTGCAGCTTTAGGGTTTTGTGAGGCTTGCCCTCCCCTCTGGGGACACGCAGGCCCCAGGTTGCGAGTTGCCCAGGTCTTGGAGATGAATTCTGCACTCGTGTGAGGGTCTTCCTTAGGTGAGCATCACCATCGTGGTCTCCAAGGACCAGAGCCTGGCCTGAGGGGACAGCCTGAGAGCAGGTTCCTTCCTGACCTCAGAGCCAGTTGTGTCCGTTGTGGGTGATCACATTTGAGCTCCTGGGGCGGGCCCCGGGCCTGGCACTCAGCATGGAAGTGGCGTACGGGCCAGTTTAATTGGAGAAGCCCCTGAATGTCCGTCGATCTCAGTCCGTTGCGTTTCAGGCGCGTTTCAGTGGCTGAGTGCTCCTTAGTGCCGGCGGGGAAGTGAGGAGGACGAGCCGCCTCTGGCATAAACTCCGTGCTGTGCCACGGGAGGGGTCTGCCTCGCTTTACGTCTGCGCAGGGCTCGGGGCCCGAAGTGCTGGGTGCGACACGTTTTAGACACATTTTAGAGTTTGCAGAGGGACGAGGAATCCACCAGCTACAGCCTCACACGCTTTGCTCCTGGAGCTGCCGCTGCCTCCCTCACATCCACACAGCGACTGTCACTCACACCTTCAGAGAATCACAGTGGAGATCATTCTGCGAATATTGTTTTCTTATTTTTATTCCTCGTATCCATCAGTGTTCAAAACATTTTTTCTGTATTTTTTTTTTTTGAGATGGAGTCTCACTGTGTCCCCCAGGCTGGAGTGCAGTGGCGCGATCTTGGCTCACTGCAAGCTCCACCTCCCAGGTTCTCACCATTCTCCTGCCTCAGCCTCCCGAGTAGCTGGGATTACAGGCGCCCGCCACCTCGCCCGGCTAATTTTTTGTATTTTTAGTAGAGACGGGGTTTCACCGTGTTAGCCAGGATGGTCTTGAACTCCTGACCTCATGATCTGCCCGCCTCGGTCTCCCAAAGTGCTGGGATGACAGGCGTGAGTCCCCGCGCCTGGCCTATATTTCTTTTTTTTAATGCACGGCCTTCCAATGACTTTTTCTGTATTTCAAAAGATTAATAAAAGCACAACTTTTCAGAGCATTGAGGAGCCGGCCTGCCTTGGGGGGGTGTGTGTGTTGTGCGGGGCCAGAGCTGGCGCTGCACTGGCGTGGCCCTGCCTTGGGCGGAGCTGTGGCTCCCGTGGGCACCGCTGCCGCGGCCACAGATTTATTCCAGCACGAGGCGGAGAGGGGGCGTCTTCTGTGTGTGGACTCGGAGGATGAAATCGCCAGCTGGACCCGGAGCCTTTCTTCCCCAGGGTGGCCCAGCTGGCTGATTCTGACAGGGAATTTGTCAGCCCTGGGCTGTGATTTCAGGGGGGCACTCTCGCTCTTGGAAGGGGCGTGTTGGTTGTGCCAAAGCTGGTGGGGCGGGGAGCCGCTTCTTCAGGAGGGAGAGGGGTGATTTTCAGATGACTCTCTTCCCACTCGGAGCGTTAAGTTCTGGCCCCAGTGGTGCCACCGAAGAAAGGCGATAACCTCTTTCTCCTCCCCAGAGATGACGCGTCTGTCAGGGAGACCCTTGCCCTGGAGGGGGCCGGCTGCCGCTCACTCACGGCCGTCTCTCTCCCACTGTGCTTGCAGGTGTGGCCGACGAGGATGCCCTCGCTGAGGAACGCATGCGGAGAGGCCAGAACGCCCTGCCAGCCCAGCCTGCCAGCTTCCGCCCGCCGAAGCCGCCCCGGCCCGCCTCACTGCTCAGACATGCGCCTCACTCTCCCTATGGGGAGGAGGGCGAGCAGGACCGACCTCGGGCTCCCGGGCCCTGGGACCCCCTCGCGTCCGCAGCAGGTGTGCAAAGGGAGGCAGCCGAGGAGCAGGCCCAGAGGGAGACTCCCGTGGGTGCCAGAGGACAGCGAGGACACAAACCGCGCCTGTGCTGCTGTGTTCTGACCTGAGCGGGCGGGGGAGGGCGGGGCGGGAGGAGGTGGCTTCGCTCTGTTCCCCTCCCGCCCGCAGCCCCCACGCCACGGTGGCTCCGGCCCCCCACCGTTAAAACGGGGTCCCCGTGTCCTTTACGCCGTGTGTTGCTCCCCAAAGGATGACAGAGCTGCCACAGCAGTGCGAGGTGCTGCTTTTACCGTAGACGTGCCTTTCCGTAGCTTTCAGCGTAGAGCTTGAGGCCTGTGGCTTAGGCCAGGTGGTCTGGTGCTGGGGGGGTCTGCATCTGCTCCTGCCCCTCCGTCAGCTTCACCTTCTCGTGCCTTCTTCTGCGCTGGGTGCAGAACAAAAGACCCCTCAAGTCAGACGTCCTCGTGAAGCGTAGTCTGCCCGTCACCCGCCGTGGGGCTCTTGGCCGCCCTGCCCGCCGCCCACCTCTTAGGGAGCTGGAGAGTCTCTGAAGTGAGTGCCCCGGAGAAGTTCTGGGTCGCCCTGAGGACGTGCTGTGCATGTGGGCTTGGCCCTGACTGCGTACTACAGCCCAGGGTCTGTTTAGTGTGAACCGTGCATCGGTTGGAAGCATTTGTGCCCCCTCTGGTTCTTACCACTGCACACAGTGAGGGGACCCAGCCGCTCCTGTCGTGCAGGAAGATAGGGATGGCTGATCTCTGGGTTTGGGGGACCTGAGCGGATGTCCTGAGGTTACTTCTGTGGATGTGGGCGGAACAGCGCTGTCTAAGCAGGACAGGAGAAGCAGCGGGGAGGTCTCCCCCTTTCCCTTCATGGCATTTTCTATTGAAAAATTAGCCCCTTCCAGTCCTCCTTGGATGAAGCACAGTTGCCGGTTACGCTTCCGAGGAGGACGGAAGGTGCACCCCCAGCCATGAGAGCCTCAGGACGCGATGCCTGTGGGTGGGCCCAGCAGCCCCTCCAGCTGGCTGGCCGCCCACCCTGCTGTGCTCGACTTTGCCATGTGAGTGTGCTGTGTCACTGAGTGATAAACAGAGGCAGTTGCAGGCTGTGTGCACCCAGAAAGAACTCCCCATGCACTGAGTGGGTGCGGGGGAGGCTCCCCAGGATCCCTGCACTGCGTGGGCGCGGGGAAGGTTCCCCAGGATCCCTGCACTGCGTGGGCGCGGGGAAGGTTCCCCAGGATCCCTGCACTGAGTGGGTGTGGGGGAGGCTCCCCAGGATCCCTGCACTGGAGGTGGGTGGTGGGGGGAAGGTTCCCCAGGATCCCTGCACTGAGTGGGTGTGGGGGAGGCTCCCCAGGATCCCTGCACTGAGTGGGCGTGGGGGAGGCTCCCCAGGATCCTTGTACTGAGTGGGTGTGGGGGAGGCTCCCCAGGGTTCCCTTCATTGAGTGGGTGTGGGGGAGGCTCCCCAGGATCCCTGCACTGAGCGGGCGTGAGGGAGGCTCCCCAGGATCTGTTGTGCACTCCTGGTACTGAAGGGTCTGAGGGCGGTAGGGAGGGCGCACTGTTTGTCGATGGGTCTTTGCAAGGTGCAGGATAGAGCAGGGTCATAGCTGTAGTGTCCCTGAACCACTGGGGTGAGGAGGCCACCGGAAGCCTGGCCTGTGAGGAGCCTTGTGATTTCCCAGGCCCCAAGAATGTGGTGCACAGGTGCGAGCCGCCTGGAGGAGCCATGTTTAAAGTGAGGTGAGACTCCTGGAACAGCACCCAGCACAGGCCTGAGGCCACACCCGTATTTCAGAACTGGGCTGGTCTCCTCCTCCCAGCGACTGTGGCTGTGGGCAGGACTGATGTGGGAGGCAGGCGCCGTTCTCCCCGCGCCTCACGGCTTTGCCAGTTTGTCTCCTCAGCTTCCCTGCCATGCACCGTTTCTGAGGGGGAAAGCTGGCTGACTGCTGAATCCCAACACAAACCCTTACAGCAAAGAGACCAGTGATGGCTTTTGTTTCTGCCCGGATCCTCTTTGTGGAGCTTCCGTCCCAGAGCTTTTCCTCTCTTTTTTTTTTTTTTTTTTTTGAGACGGAGTCTCGCTCTGTTGCCCAGGCTGGAGTGCAGTGGCCGGATCTCGGCTCACTGCAAGCTCCGCCTCCCGGGTTCACGCCATTCTCCTGCCTCAGCCTCCTGAGTAGCTGGGACTACAGGCACCCGCCACCTCGCCCGGCTAGTTTTTTGTATTTTTTAGTAGAGACGGGGTTTCACCGTGTTAGCCAGGATGGTCTCGATCTCCTGACCTCGTGATCCGCCCGTCTCGGCCTCCCAAAGTGCTGGGATTACAGGCTTGAGCCACCGCGCCCGGCCGCTTTTCCTCTCATTTGTTTCCTTTTTAATCGCTTCATGAGATCTTGAAGATACCAAAGTAACCATCAAAGATTTAAAGATGTGATTTTCATACAAATATATAATGAACACATGTCAGAGACTTTTACTTAAGTTCTTATTGACAGATGACAAAGCTGACTCAATGGATGATTCAGGAAGCTGCTGCAGAGTTGGAGACAGAACTAGAGTGAAATTGCAAAGCAGGGTGGTTTTGGTCTCTGCGGAGGCCATTTGCGACTTACTCACCAACCCCAGGGTGCTGGTGGGTGACAAGAAAGAGGCTGAGCAAGGCTCCGCCCCTGCAGGCTCACTCACTGTATCGGGATCAGAGCACCAGCACCACCAAATCGGAACAACTGTACATGCCTGCAGACAAGGGCATGTGCTAGTGTGGGCATGACAAAGTCACACGGGTGCAGACCCCTTAGCTCCAGCCTGCTGGGTGTGCTGACCAGGGGACTTTGTAGCGGTAACACAGGCTCCTGAGTCAGGAGACTGGTTTGCTGCATTTTTGTGTCACTGAAGGTCTCTCTTTCCCCGAAGCCCCTTGTCACGGAAAACCCATGACTCTCGGCCAGGCCTCTGGGTGCCTGGAAGATCCCACTATCTTTTTGTGGGATTGGCATGTCCTGGGCAAGGTTCCTGAAAAAGGAGTACGCAGTGAGGAGACCGGCCACCCAGCAGTATTGATGGCCCCTGCTTTGGCCTCCAGCCGTCTGACCAGTCCCTGAATCGAGTAGGTCTTATTGGAGCTCCCAGGAGTGAGCGAGCTTCCACTCATGGTGTCACAGCCAGGTGTGCAGCCCCCAGGCCTGGGCGGTTCTAGGGCATGATTTTTTTTAGGCTGGAAATGAGCTCTCACTTGAGATGCACCCCTCAAAATACGGAACGTACTGCTTCTGCAAGAATTTCCCCTCCTTGTATCTGGTGTGATTGACAACGGGGTGCAGTCAGTGGAAGCAGGAATGTTGGGGAGTACAGGGTACTGGGGGTGCTCCTATCCTGGTCAGCAGAGCGGCGGGTCGGCGGCGAGCGCCTGTCCCTGCTGCGTGGTGTGGGGTTCCCTGGCTGACATTTGCTGCTGTGTGGAGTCCTTAACCCCAGCACTCGCCCTGCCTTAGTTCAGAGGACAGAGGCATTGCCGGGAACCCACCCGATCCTAACTCAGGCGTTGGAAAGGACGAGTGAGATTTTGTGTTTATGAATTCCATACCTACTGTAGGAATATCAAGAACATGTAACTGTTAAAAAAGGAAAAGTAAAATGACTAAACATGAAAGAAAGAGTAAAACAGGTCCTTTACTTTTTTGACTGAGGAAAGCAGCCTGTCCCGGAATGCTGTAGGACGGAATGCTGTAGGACGGAATGCTGTAGAAGGGAGCTCCAACTAAAGATTGCAATCTAACCCTGCCCTCAGCTTTCAACGGCTCGAAGTTTGTCTTTTTAATGAAACTAATTTGTGTATTTATACTTAAGGGTTTTCAACAGTTTCCAGAAGTCCTTTTCTATCAGGACGAATTTTTAAGTAGTCGCTGATGGGAGAGTGTGCCTCTGTGGTCTGTGCCCGAGGCTGGCAGTCCCACAAAGGTCTGGAGCCCGCGAGCCAGTGCCCAAGGCCATGTCTGTGATTCGCAGGAGGTTCAGGTGACAGGAGGGCCTGCTCTGTTTTTCTCACTTCAATTTTGGACTTTTTTTTTTTTTGAGACTGTCTCGCTCTGTCACCCAGGCTGGAGTGCAGTGGCATGATCCCGGCTCACTGCAACTTCTGCCTCGAGGGTTCTGGTGATTTTCCTGCCTCACCTCCCGAGTGGCTGGGACTACAGGCGCCCACCACCACATCTGGCTCATTTTTGTATTTTTAGTAGAGATGTGGTTTCTCCATGTTGGACAGGCTGGTCTCGAACTCCTGACCTCAGGTGATCCCCGGCTTCAGCCTCCCAAAGTGTTGGGATTACAGGCGTGAGTTACCACGCCCAGCAATATTGGAGGCTTGAAGAAGACCGGGAAGGGGTTTCTTTGTGGCGGACCCGCCCCTCGCCACCCTCCCCGGCAGCCCCAGGGCGGTGAGGGTGACTGCAGTGTGGTCACCTCAGGCTTTCCGGCCCTAACTCGTAAAGGACCAGCGGCAGCAGTTGTTTTAAAGGAGCTCCTGTTACTCCCTTTGTTCTGGAGTCTTGGTAAAGTTTGCTTTCCCGAAGCTGAGGAACCTCAGGCCGGGCTGACCCCCCACCCCGCCCCCATCCCACGGGGTCCCTCGGGTCCTGGGGCACGAGGATCCTCTGGGGGACACGGCCTCCGAGAGCTGGCTCTGCCCAGGCCGCGCTCCAGTCAGGGGGGGTTCCCTGCGTGCTCCTCGGGAGGGAGATCTCCTGGCTTCCTCCCGCTTCCTTTCCTTTCCTCTGCGTTTTCTGCAGAGCCGCCTCCCTGCTTTGGAAGCAGGTCCTCAGCGGCCTGGCAGCCGCCAACGGCGCACATGCCCCTCCGTTCTTTCTTTCTGTAACTTAAGGCACATTTCCTAAAAACGCAGCATGGAACGCTTGGCGGTTCGCAGAACGCGCATCTTGCGCTGCTCCCTCGTAGGGCGGTTAGGACGCGCTCGGCTCTAGTGGAAAGCTGCGAAGGTGGCAGCCTCCACAGTGCACAGGCCACAGGCGAGTGGCGTGGTGTGTGGCTGTGGGTGTGGACTGGATCTGCAGGCTTGTCCCCTCCCGTGGAGAGCTGTCGGGGTCCGGGCAGTGCTCAGTGGTGACAGCCACGGCACATTTGAAAGTCCACATGTGTTTGCCCCACTGTGGTCCAGGACACGCGTGAGCCACACTCAGTGGACTTGGACCTGTGACATGCTGGTCAGCATGGCGGCCGTCAGCTGGGCGTGGAATGCATGTGGTTGGAGCCCGGCACTCGGCCCACCGTGATTGTGATTCTCTGGGGCAAGTCCTGACTGTGGGCAGGGCCTGAGGCCCCGGAGAGGGCTGTGAGCAGGCTCCTCCCAGTGAGGCACGATGCCACGATGTGAAGTTGCGTGGGTCTTTGGAGTGTTCTCCTGGCAGGTCGAGGGCCCGTGCGTGTGGGACCCAGGCCCGCCCTGCCTGCTGCCGGCCATGTTCCCTGTGCCCCGTCATGTTGACAATTGTGGCCAAATTCAACATCAGGCCCGTTTCCTGCACCCATGTTGGCACACACTGAGTCCAAGACAATTTCTGCAGAAATGAATCCAGAGGTGTTTATTTCTGGCACATTGGATCAGATGTTCAGAGGGTGGGCGTCTTTCTCCCTGCGCTTCAGCTGGATCAGTCAGTGTCAGCCGTTGGCTTTAGCAAAAGGAAAATGAAAGGTTACTTTCCTCCAATAAGAAATGGGACTTTCCCACGCCGGATGGCACAGAGCCCGCAAACGTGAGGCCAGTCCACGCCAAGGCTTTGCCTGCAGACAGGCTGCACTGCGGCCGGCTGGGGAAGCAGAGGAGACCGCGGACACCCTCCCCACAGCGGGGCGCAGCTTTGCGCAGGCCCAGTGTGCGCTCTGAAGGGGAGCCCAGGGCGGGGTTCCGGGGCTGAGGCCCAGGGTGGGCTTCTAGCTCTGCTGCTGGGCGGAGCTTGGATAGGTGGGAGCCCTCACTTCTCTGCAGGGTGGCGAAGCTCTCTGGGTAGTGTGAGCGGTTCTCGACGTGCACCTTGGAAAGTCAGCTCCCGTTTTGAGGTGCAGGTGTGGCCCAGATAGACGACTTCATTTTGTTGCTTTTTGTTCTTAACATGGGGAAATACTGAGAAAACATGTTTGGCTCTTGCTGGGGAAGCAGTGCTGTTCCGCACAGTGTTTTACAAGCCGTGTTTCCTTAGGATTCAAAGAAGGTGGCAAGAGGAAGAAGCAGAAGCAGAGAGAGGAGTCCAAGAAGAAGAAGTCGACCAAAGGCAATCACTAGACCGGACTCGAGGCGCGCGGTGCACCCCCGGACGCTGGCGCTCCCCCGTGCTCGGCGCGCGGTCGTGCACACGCGCTAGGTAGCGGCGTTGGGGCAGGACTGTCTCGAGGCCACACTCGCTCGGCAGGATTATGCGATCACGGATCAGTCAGAGCAGGGTCAGGAGACGGGGCTGACGGCACGGGTGGCGGGGATAGACTTTTGGGATGCGGCCGCGACTCTCTGCTTCTCTCCAGCGCTCAATCTGCTAGCATTTTCCTCTAGTGCTTCCGGATCCTCTTCATTCTTTTCGGCTACTCAACCGCTCCGCGTGCTGCTGGAGTATTTCTAGCTTTAGGAGTGCAGTAGGGCGCAGACAGCTAACTGAGTAACATTCATGAAATGAGGCTCTTTCCTGTGGCGGCGTAGTGTTTGGAATTAAAGTAATTCAGTGGAGTGTAACTTAGAGAATATCGCAAGTGACACACTGACTCCTGCACCTTTTCCTCAGAGCAATCCCGCCACACCAATAGAAGGCTGTCGTGAATCCCATCAGATGTAAAATCATTCCTTCTGTTTGCTCTTTTAATTTGCATCCTCTGCAGGTAGTCCAAATTCAACTTCAAATATGGTGTAGGTTTTGCTAGAGTCCATATTTTTTTTTCTCGGATTTTTGCTAATTATTGTTAGCAAAATTTTTTGCTCAGCGGCACCCTCCCCTAGTGTCCATGGGTTAGGGCCGTGCTGGGGAAAACGGGCCGGTATTTACACATGCGCAAAACACCCAGAGACGGCACAAGGAGGTTGAACTAATGTTTCAGTTCGCGAACATTGACTCCTTATGAAAGTCACTTCTAACTAGATGCACCCCCTTCCGGTCATTATTTCATTTGCATGATGTATTGCTTCTTCACTTTTTGTTTTTATTGAGCACGGAGTAGAATTCCAGGGCTGCCTTGACTTCTTCCCTGCACGCTCCCTCTCAGTGACTTTCCTTCCCTTTCACATGAGGATCTGCTGTTCATGTTCCTTTTTCCTTTGTCCTCTTGGACTTGAGGGCATTGTGAAAAGCTGTGATGTGATTTTTAAATGCCAGCAATTTTAATCTAGCCGTGTTGAAGCCGGGAAGTTTCTGGCGCAATCCATGTAGCAGTGACCCAGGCTTGGAAGCCAGAAACAAGTGTGATCTGTGATGTTATTTAACACAACTGTTGCCAAAGAGTTGGCTTTGTTTATTTGGTTTTGGTGGGGAGTGGAGTGGTATTTGATGCTTTCTGTGGACAATGTAACCCTAAACACATCATGTATTTGGTGGGGAGTGGAGTGGTATTTGATGCTTTCTGTGGACAATGCAACCCTAAACACATCATGTATTTTAAGTGCCACCTACGTAAATAAAACATAAGCATATTGAATACAGCTTGCCTGCCGTCCTTTGTAGGCGCCAGTAAGTTGCACTGTTAAGACTGATTAAAAATGAAAGCAATTCTTCAACATTACAATTATGAAGGACAAAGTGGTGTTTTGCGGGCAGAAGTCTTGCTTCTGAAATTCTTCACTGTAAGGTGAAAACGTGACTTTAAAGCTAACACCCCCGGCAGGGCACGGTGACTCATGTCTGTAATCCCAGCACTTTGGGAGGCCAAGGTGGGCAGATCACCTGAGGTCAGGAGTTCAAGACTAGCCTGGCCAACATGGTGAAACCCCATCTCTACTAAAAATCCAGAAAATTAGCCGGGCATGGTGGCGCATGCCTATAATCCCAGCTGCTCGGGAGGCTGAGGCAGGAGAATTGCTTGAACCTGGGAGGTGGAGGTTGCAGTGAACCGAGATCGCACCACCGCACTCTAGCCTGGGGGACAGAGTGAGACTGTGTCTCAAAAAAAAAACCTAACAGGCGGGGGGTGGAAGCGATCGAGGCACTGGGGGGCGAGAGTGGAGGACTCCGGGTTCAAAAACAAAAAAACTAACAAACACCCCAGCGCACAGATGAGGTGGAAACCGGCCCTTACGAGGCGGAACGCACACTTGAGGTGTAAACTCCTGCAGCCTTCGCAGGAAACAGTGAGGCCCCGAGAGGAAAACCTCGTCCACTCGTCCTGGCTCTGCTGGCAAAACCCAAACAGGGCCACACGTGCGCTCAGTGCTGAGGGCCTGGCGTCCGGCCTTCCTGGGGACTGAGGAAGGCAGTGCAGTAAATCGCCTTGCAGGGGGGTTGGGGGGGGTGTTTTAAAAACAAGATTAGTCCTTCTCAACTGCTCAGATCCCAGAATCTGCTGCTGAGATTGTGGCGAGGGAGGCAGGTGGTTCGACAGGTTTAGAGGTGACTGTTGTGCCCTCTACCCTGCTCGCTTGACCTCAGGGCGTCCCAGGAGCTGGCCAGGCTTCCTCAGCAGGGACACAACAGAGCCTGGAGCGCCTTCCAGACAAGCCAGGCCACACACAAGACAGTCTCTTGGCAAAGCTGCCAGAGCCCCGTCTTCACACGGTCTGGCTGCCAGGTCAACTCGTGTCACAGGCGGGTCCTCCCGTCACTGAGAGGGAGAGACCCTGACCCCAGGAGGAGGAGGGAGCTAGTGTCCATGGAGCCTGGCAGGTGCCTGGTCAGCAGGTAGGTATCTGCTTCTAAGGTGAGGAGGGGTGCTGGGGTCTACCCAACCCCTGTGCCCAGCGGCCCCATCCCCCTAGGGCGTGTTCAGGAGTGGAGACAGAGCCCACGGCTGCCTATGCCAGCATCTGCTGAGGGGGTGGGGAGGGAGCCCGGGCCCTGGGTGTGCTCGGCAGCTGCTGAGATGATGGTAAGAGGGAGTGCGGCACCTGTCATCGTCACCTTTGTGATGTCCCAAGCAATGGGGGGCCCTGCGGGGGGTGGGGAAGGCAGTGAGGTGGTGGTGGGTGGGAGGCAGGGGGCTGTGGACGGTGCGGCAGGGACTGCAGTTGTGGGACTGAGGTGGGGAGTCCTGGGGGTGTCAGGACCACAATGGGACCTCCTGGCCACCCCACTGCCAGCCCCAGGGCCACCCTGTACACCATTCACCTTTGTCGGGCACGAAGGGCTGCAGAACCCACTTTCCGTAAGTAAATACATTTAAACATTCAGAAACATTCACACCCTAACCCTAACCTGGGGGTCCCATGTGCCTTCCCTCATGTGGGTTGCACAGCTGGAGACAGGATCGGAACCAGGACATGGCGCCGTCACCTGGGAGAGCGCTCTGCTCTTTTGTTCAGAGGCCTGGGAAAGTGGGACCATGACGTGAATAACCACACCTGAGGTAAACACATTTGCTTTTGTTTTTGTTTGTTTGTTTTTTTGAGATGGAGTCTCACTCTGTCACTTAGGCAGGAGAGCCGTGGCACCATTATCACACCTCAGAAAATTGGTAATTCCCCCACGCTGGCTACTTGTCAGTCCATTTTCAGAAACTATTTAGTTGTATTCGTTTCTTTTTTGAGGGAGAGTCTCGCTTTGGCACCCAGGCTGGAGTGCGGTGGTTCAATCATAGCACACAGTACCCTGACCTCCTGGGCTCAAGCAATCCTCCCACCTCAGCCTCCCAAGTCGCTGCGGCTACAGATGTGCCACTATGCCTGGCTAATTTTTACATTTTCTATAGAGACAGGATTTCACCATATCGTCCAGGCTGGTCTCAAACTCCTGGGCTCAAGCAATCTGCCTGCCTCAGCCTCCCAAAGTATTGAGATTGCAGGTGTGAGCCACTGTGCCTGGCCTGTCATTTTTTTGTTTTTGTTTTTTTGCAGGAGACTGGAGTTTTATTGTTATACAAATCAGTCTCCCTGGCCTGTGATTTTTAAAAATTTGACTTCAGTCAAGACTACACACTGCATTTAGTTGTCATGTGTATTAAGTCTTTGTATGCTTTTACCTTTTATTATGAAAAATCTTAATGTCCAAATTGTGTGTTTGGAACAGGTAACTGTAGGAATGAACCCCTCTCCCCCACCCAGAGGTGCACAGCGCCTGCCCCTCTTGTGTATCTGCACCCCCTCCCCATCATGTTTTTTTGTTTTTGTTTTGAGACAGAGTCTTGCTCTGTTTCCCAGGCTGGAGTGCACTGGTGTGATCTGACTCACTGCAACCTCTGCCTCGCGGGTTCAAGGGATTCTCCTGCCTCAGCCTCCGAAGTAGCTGGGATTACAGGTGCCCGCCACCACGCCCAGCTAATTTTTGTATCTTTAGTAGAGACAGGAGTTTCACCATACTGGCCAGGCTGGTCTCGGACTCCTGACCTCAAGTGATCCACCTGCCTCGGCCTCCCAAAGTGCTGGGATGACAGGCGTGAGTCACTGCGCCTGGCTCCCATCCTGTTTTGAAGTCAGTCCTGGGCTATGCATGACTTCATCTGTCAATATCTGACCTGCCTTTCCTCCAAGCTTCTTGGCTGGAATTCTTCGGTAAAGATGGATTTTCCCTTATCCACTGCTTGGGTCCCAGAAGTATAGTTTCTGCTTCAAAATGCCCTGCACATTCTTGTTTTTCTCGAGTCCCAGCGTCTAGAGCGACTGGCTGGCTCCCTGGCTCCTCCGAGGACCCCGAGGTGACCAGCGGCTTTGTCTAGTTCCATCGTGAGCCCACAAGCGGTGATTGCACTTGTGGCGTTCCATGGTTGGGGCCATTGCCTTTGGAAGCTCGGATGGCTGCGTCTTGGGGCGATAGACAGACTCCTCGGTGCCTGCAGTTTGTGCTGGCCTCAGGGCCTCGGCTGCTCCGGGTCCTGCCTGGAGATGCCCGAGGCTGCCTCTGTGGACGGAGGGAGAGTATTTTTTAAAGAGAAAATTCATATTAGGATATATAATATAAAGGATTTGTGTTAATATTTCCAGTTCAAATTTAGGATTACAGGGTTTTCACTATTTGGATTTTATATCAGATTTTTTCTTTTACTCTGAGAATTTAAATTCTTTTTTTTTTTTTTTGAAATGGACTTGCTCTGTCACCCAGGCTGGAGTGCAGTGGCATGATCTCGGCTCACTGCAGCCTCCAACTCTCAGGTTCTAGTGATTCTCCTGCCTCAGCCTCCTGAGTAACTGGGATTACAAGTGCCTACCACCATTTTTGTATTTGTAATACAGATGGGATTTTACCATATCGGCCAGGCTGGTCTCAAACTCCTGGTCTTAGGTGATCCACCTGCCTCAGCCTCCCACGGTGTTGGAATTACAGGCATGAGCCCACCATGTCCAGCCAGATTTTTAGTTTTTTTTTTTTTTTTTTTTTTTGAGACGGAGTCTTGCTCTGTTACCCAGGCTGGAGTGCAGTGGCGCGATCTCGGCTCACTGCAAGCTCCACCTCCTGGGTTCATGCCATTCTCCTGCCTCAGCCTCCCAAGTAGAGCTGGGACTACAGGCGCCTGCCACCACGCCCGGCTAATTTTTTTGTATTTTTTAATAGAGCCGGTTTCACTGTGTTAGCCAGGATGGGCTTGATCTCCTGACCTCGTGATCCACCTGCCTCGGCATCCTAAAGTGCTGGGATTACAGGCGTGAGCCACTGCGCCCAGCCAATTTTTAGTTCTTAATACATAACATAGTTACTTGATATATAGAAAATAATATAATTAAAAAACTAAAAAAAAATAAAAAAAATTCAGAGCTCTTCAATCCTTTTTCTTTCTTTCTTTTTTTTTTTTTTTTTTTTTTTGAGACAGTCTTGCTCTGTCGC